GTACCAACATATGCAGAATACTTTCTGTCGACTAACTTTTTCATTCCTACCTTTATTGGTCTTGACTTTTTATGAAAACCATTCCATTTCAGTATTGTTCAGCGCTATATAATTTCATAATCTAGATTGATTTTCAAATTACCTCCAGATACCGTGGTGGCTTGATATTTTATTTTGTTTTGTATTAAATAATCTAACAACAAGTCATGTTTTCCTGGTTTAGTAATTATAACTGGAAGGGATTTAATGAATTTATTTATCTGTTAGCACCTGTTTCGAACTGCTGGATTTTCTTTTTTCTAATTTTTATCTCCATTGTTTTCACAGGTCCATGTATTAAACAGTACCAGTTCATTTTGGGTTCTGGCTTCATTCCCGAAGAAGGCTGATGTTGTTCCATTGTTCCACGTGATTTTCCTGAATCATTGCTTGGCTTTTTTTTGCTAATAATGCTTTAGCCGGTGACGATGGTCTTGAATCGGACCAGTAATAATCGAGAAACAAGCTTAGGTTCTTTTGGCATTGCTACTGCGCAGGATTTTTCTCTTCAACGTTTATCTATAGCGCATTCTCTACATAATGCCGTTTTTCCCGTTTGAATCAGACCAATAGTAGACAAGAAACACGCTTAGGTCCTTCTGGCAATCGCATGATTTTTCCGTTCGGCGTTAATAGAAATTTAATCCCCCCACTCCCCCTCACTCTGTCTCACTCTTACCCATTGAATATGTACTTCTCACTCTTACCCTTTGAATATCACTCTTGCACATATTCCCTATGTGAGCTTGTGGTAACTTTTCGACATATTTCTAAACTATTTTTATGTGCACATTTTTATTTCTGTTATTAAATATTTAATTTAGTAATCATTGTCACTTTTGTAAACTATTGATATTAAAATATTCTCGAGATTTAGATGCAACAAAAATAGCTGTATAATACATCAACCAACACAATTATCTTTTATTTCAACACATGATCATCAAAACGATGCATGCTCCAGTATTTTCAGTTCATCCCGATTGGGTTTAAAAAAATCAATTCATTATCAGTAGTAATATCCCAAGGACAGCAATAATTCGAATTATTTTTTTTTTTCACTTACCGAAAGCATGTTGCTTGGTAACTTACCTTAAGTTACCTTAAGAAACGTGCTTGAGGTATTTGAAAAGAAAATTATGAATATTTACCTCTGGCCGAGAGGTATTCGATCAGAAAATTTTTGGCATATTTTAACTCATTTATTTAATAAAAAGTAACCCACTACCCAGAACTACCCAGATAGCACAAATAGGTCCACTGGACGTCTATTCGATATAAAATTTCTGGACGTCCAAAGATAAGTTTTTGTGGACTTCCGACGTCCATTGGACGTCCAGTGAAGTATAAAAATGGCACACTTTTGACCGTTCTTAGGACGTCTAATTCTGAATTATATTTGGACGTTCAATACTGGACATTCAATAAACGTCCATTCCTGGATTATTTCCATTGAGATTACATCCCTACTTTTTTACACAACTGCAACTCACCACACTATTTTATATTATTAATAATTTATTTATTATTTTCGCAACCCGCTATCATTATTTTTTTTGTAATAAAAATCACTTGATCAGAGCAAGAATCGAACTCACGATTGTCTTTCTGGGCATTCAAGCGCTAGGCGACCTCGACCAAGGAGCCGCTTGAAAAATTCTTAGTAGATACGGTTATAATAGAATAAGATTTCAAACTTTCGCTGATAGAATGAAATGTAGTAGAATTAATTTGTCAATTTTTAATGACCAATTCTATTAAAAATATAAAAAGATATATAAAAGGGTATTATCTGGTAGGCTAAATAAATAATGACCTAAGATGGATGTCCACTGGACGTTAAAATAATACTAAACTTAAAATTAGGTCCAAAAACGGTTATAAGAGAATAAGATTTCAAAGTTCCGCTGATAGAATGAAATGTAATAAAATTAATTTGTCAATTTGTAATGACCAATTCTATTAAAAATATAAAAAGATATATAAATGGGTATTATCTGGTAGGCTAAATAAATAACGACCTAAGATGGATGTCCACTGGACGTTATACTAAATAATACTAAATAATACTAAACTTAAAATTAGGTCTAAAAACAGACGTCCTCTGGGCATCAGTTGCAATTGTCAAATTAATGATCATATACGGACGTACCAGAGATAACAGGAGATGTAACTACTAACAAATATCGTACGGTCCCAAATAAGACACATTCTAAGGGATACAGGAGGGTATTATATCCGCTGTTGTCATATGCCTATTTCATTATTCTCGTTTTGTTTACAAAATTACTTACATATATTAAAAAAGCTAAAATAATTCAACCTGTTTTATTGCAACTGAACCCAAAAAATTTTGAATCATTAGTTATATCAAATTTAACTAAATTAGATGTAATAACTTTCAATAAATTCCAAAACCTAGTCGTGTTGGGTTGGAAGTGGCAACAGGGCTTACACCGGCATGGATATTTACGTTGTTTATTATAAGCGTACAGCGTCTTACACATTTAATCATTGTTAAAATAAAGTTGTATCTGCGTAAAATCCTTCTATTTATCCTCTCTCTTACTGCTCACCTTTCGTCTTCTCACCGCGGATCTATAAATAGAGTGTTATGATTCTCAACTTAATCTTGGCATTGTGAATATTATATTTTATCAATGAATGGCTATATCTGTTATCTCTGGGACGTACTCTGGATATCCGAATACGGATATGGACGTTCTAGTCCTCAAATAGATCTTAAGTGGATATCTATTGGACTATGTGTGTTGTCTGGGTAGTTACAGTCCATAAAATCTTGATTGTATATTCCGAAAAGTGTTGACTGTACATTCTTTAAGTCAGTATCATTTTTTTCTCATATTTACGGCCCAATCCATCAGTATCAAATTCGCATCTAACACATATTTTCTAATTTCTTAAAATTATCTAAAACGGAATTTTTTGGTTTTTCTTCAATGAAATTAATTATTTTACTAAATCGAGACAATTAAAAATAAACAAATTTAAAAGTGTCAAAAGTTTGACTTTTTAGAAATGTCATAATATTTAACAAGCAGTGAGAAGCATCTATCTTCGTTTGACAGAATGTGATTTTTATGCAATGTCTCTCTTTATTCTATGAAGACTGTTCAGACATCGAATAGAGAGAGACATTATATAAGAATCGCTTCTTGTGGAATGAAGATAGGCGTCTCGACACGTGTTGTATTGAAAGATGAGAATCCCAATACTGGTTTACATATGGGGTACACCAGATTAACGTTCGTATTAAATACTGATTGATAATCAAATGAGAAAAAGTGTAATAGTCATGAATTATTACTGTGAACCTTTTTAATAAATAATTGAAGGGCTTATTGTAAAAACGTAATAAGCCACACTTTAAAAAAAAAATAAGGTTACAGAAGCTTGAACCAACTGGAAATTCTCCAACGAATACGAAAATTAGCCGAAAAATCAAGTTATTACATTTTAATAAAGTTGTATTAGTTAAAGAAGTTTATTTTAACCTTTGAAGGCGTGTTTCCTTAATAAATTAATGTTGTGGCTTATCATGTTATTCCAATAAGCCCTTTAATTTTTAGTTATTAAATCATTTAGCGGGATAAAAATAAACGTTTTAGTTCCTACATATTGATTTGTTTGGTGCAAACTTGACAGTGTAAGTCAGAGCTGATTGGATAATTTGATACACGTGACTGGTTTTCTATTAATTAATAATTTATGCGAAATGTCAATGTAAAGTTTGTCAAAAACGACGGAATTAAAAAATTTAATTCATCACTAGAGTAACGTATCAATAATTTCTACGAAACGTCAATGTAAAGTTTATTAAAAAGGGGACGAAAAATAAGAAAAAATTGTTTTGATTATTGAAATATAGATTTTAAATATCGAAACGATTTCATTTTACGGAAACACAAAAAATGCTGTTTATAAAAGTTCTGTTTATATTTTTAAATAATCTTTCCAAATGCCACTCGAGGTGAAATTTTTGATGAGAACATCTTGTTGTTTTATTACAAATTTTGTAAAGTTTACTCAACAAATTCCTACTGAAATACCACTCGACTGACGGAGGATTTTGTTTCGTAAAATTTAGACGCATAATGTTCAAAGAACCAAACAATGTTACATCTATTTGCCCCGATTCTGTCTTGTCATAGTACCATCTTAATACTTAGGCAGGCACGTACTTAGAATTTTTTGTAGAAGACAAAAATGAGAATTTTTTTTTCACATTTTGGATCTGGTCAAAGGACCCCGCAATAATCTTATGGAAATTGGGTTTCTGTCAAATTGTCTGAATTTTTGATATGTTGTAGATTTTGTAATCCTAAACAAAAGTCTCCATGGACATAAAGTGCTAAAATGAATATTTTGGCAGCTACGGAGCTGCCAAAGCTCCCCTGACCCGTTGAAAAAACTATTCATTTTCAATACTATTTACACATGTCAAAAGCATATTTTGATTTTTCTACTATGTAGGGTAATGTTTTTGAGGTCACTGGATTTAACCCTCATGTCAGATTGGACAAATTGACCGTTGACAGCTGTCAATTCATGGTCAACGAGGAATATAAAAGTAAATATACTCTTTTCACATTGAGAGTTTGGGTTTTTGAGGTCGCTGACAGTTGACAGCTGTCAATTTGTCCAATTTTACATGATAATTGAATTCAGCGACCTCAAAAAGTGTACTAGAATACTTACTCACTGCAGTATAAATCGATTTAAATCTATACAACCTGCTTATTCACAATTATCCTAAAATATATGGACACATCAGCTAAGAACTATTAAATTGTTTCTATTATCTACATTATACAGGTACTAAAATAAAACCAACACCAATTTTATTTACATTATACACACTTTATTAATATTAATAATACTTTAAAAACAAAATGAAACATTAAACATATCCGCCATTATTAAGACTGTAAGGGACTAGACAATCAAAAATAATTGGGTGGATTTATCTGAAATACTAATTTAAATATTATTAAGAAAACAAACATGTTCTTAAAAACAAACAATAAAATTAACAATAATTTTATGTTATTCCATAGATAGCATACTATTTTCCTGCTTGTAAATGCTAAACATATACCTACGTATATTTCAGACTATAAAAACGCCACTTTGTATATAAAATAAAAAGAAAATAATGAAGAATAGAGTAAGTGTAGTACAATTTTATTTTAATGTCACCGGTATACTGTCTAAATCAGTCCTTTAAAAAAGAATGATTTTTAGAATGAGACACTTAATAAAAATCTCGAATATTTAAAATTATTTTTAAATAAAAAACAAATAATTATATAGAATTGTGAATGAAGTAAAAGATGAAGAAGAATAAAAATGAGATAAAATAGAATAATCAAGATTAAAATTATTTTGCAATAATTTATTTGATATCAATATTTACGGAGTTTATAAATGTTAAAAAAATTATGGAAGCATTGTGATTTTTATAACTTGACTTAGTTTAAATACTGAGGGTTATAACTACATTTATAGATATTGCATGATGAAAAATATTAGATGTTGGTAACTGTTATTTAGAAAATTCGTAGAATTATGATAATTAAAATGTTATATTGATATTTACTAGATTATACCTACATATATCTACCTACATGAATATTATTGTTCTACTTAATTTATTTTAGCGCTTTCTCTTTATTTTTTTAAGTGTCTCAAAATTCTAAATAAAACTGAAACTTAAGCTACGCAAGAAAATAGCATAAATGTAATTTAATTTATTGGTAAAAGTGAAAAATCATTTTTATAAATATTGAGCAAGATTAAGTAATACTGATCTTTAAGTGCCCCACTTTAACCGATTGAAATTGCAAAATGCTATATTTAGAGCAAACAAGTAAAAAACCAACTCGAAATGCTAATACTTATTTACAAAAAATCTTCAGCCTCTAAAAACGACAGCACCTGAAAATATGGTTAAAAAATTTCGAAGGGTGAGCGTTTAGAAACGAAGTTAAAGAAGTCTATACATATATTAACCTTATATATTATGGCGCCGAAACGATTAACACATAAATTATAGATATACAATAACAAATACTTAAAAACAATTATTTTCTTGTAATGGCAAGATCTAAAATTTAAATATCCATCAATAAATAAAAATCAACAAATCTAAAAAAAGGTAACTCGAGTTTTACTAGAGTAGAGTAGAAATGATCTAGTCAAAAATATTTTCAATGGTAATACCAAGACCTTGATAATAGTCAGCTATTTTTGTTGAATCTAAATCTCGGGACACAATTTTTGGCATTAATAATCTGATTAGATCCTGATAGCCTTAGCTCGAGGGCTTTAATCAATTGATTTCTAATGCCAAAATTATGAAGAATCAAATTGAAAAATATTTTAGAAATTTAGCAATAACAAAAATAGCAGAATATTGATCAAGGTCGCGTTATATTTGGAACGACTATTTCACTAGACCAAATATTGACTAGTTCTCTAGAGAAATAGTCGCTGATAATTGGTCTAGGGAGATAGTCATAAATAAATTAAACTATTATCCTAAGTACTAAGTACTAAGTAAAATGGTTGCTTTTAAAATTCTCAGAAATATAATAGTATTAAAATTTTCATAGTAGACTTTTGATTGGTGTCCAATTAAAAGAGTTTTATAGAGGTTTAGAATCCCGAAACAAGCAATGAAATTTAATGTATTTTAACCCTGAGAACGATATTGCAGGTTTTCAGGATAATCGTAAAATAGTAATGTCTACAAGTGAGAAAATAAACACTTTTCCCATTTGGTATAAAGAAAGAAAATAGAAATGAAAACAAAAAGTCATCCGGAGTCACGAAGAACTACAAGAGCTACCAAACATACAACGCTACGAAAGTGGTACTTATATTGTTTCAAAATATTTTGTTCTAACAATGTCATATTTTGAAATTGTAACTATTTTTCGTCAGCAATACTTCTTCAATTTAAAAATGTTTTTCTAAAATCTGAACATATACAAATTTACACCGGTTTATTTAAGAGGAGAACAAATAGAAATTATTTCTTACAGCATGATAAATTATTTATTCTTTGAACACAAATAAGCTGTGAAAAAAATGTAACTTTGTGTAGCATACATAGAAATAAATATTAACAAACTTATGTTGCCGAAAGACTCAATATTTCTAAATTCAAACTAATTGATCTAAACAATGTACTTTCTACCCAGAACTCTGACGATCACTGGAGAGTTTTTTCATCTTTACCTCGAGAGTCAATTTCTAAAATCCCATACGATAGACACTTTATTAATAATTTAATAGAAATTTGATTTCCTGCATGGTTTAATTAAAAAAAATAATGTTCTAAAATATAGACTAATATGTTATGTTTAAATTTCATTGCCAAACGGGTATTATTTTTGACTAGTTCATTTCGAAACCCCGAAAAAATCAATTAAACAAAAACGACTTTAGACACTTAACTTCAATCTAAATCATGGTAGAAGTGGGAATCAATTGTATTCGTTATCGTAGGCACGTGATCTCCGCAGGTTGGGAAACCAGGTGGAACAGGAGGGATATCCGCATGAGTTCCAACTTGAAAAACTAAATTCATTCCTATAACAATGTGGAACAAAAAGTGACAGTGGAATAGCCAGAAACCTGGATTGTCTGCCCTGAATCTCAGTACTACGTAACCGTTATTTGGTACAGCGATAGTGTCCTTGCCAGGTGGTAAATTAAATTGTCTGTGAAGGAGACCTTGTCTGTCAAGGTCTAAAGCGTGCTTCAAGTTAATTTTCTTTACATTTCTGTCGGGAGATCTGCCAATACCAATAACATTGAAGGCGTATCCGTGCAGATGGAAGGGATGACTCAAATTGGGTTGTTGAACTAGAATAAAAAGTAAAATTAAAAATTAGGTACCTTGCTAAAAACTTGATTTAAAATAGTTAAATATATTAAAACAATATAACAAAAAAGAAAGAAATAAAAAATGGGCGACGTAACCAATATTTCTTTTTTTTTATTAGATAATCCACGCACTAAACCTTTTTCCTTTTGTTACAACAATATATACCGGGTGTCCATGCGAAAACATATACAGGGTTACTTTAAAAATTTTGACGTAAGGGTAGCTTGGCGCGAAGTAGGGAGGAGTAATGGGATAAACAGTATTTTCAATTATGACCCCAATGTACTCTTTTAAGTTTAATTTTACCAGAAATTAAGCCATCTGAAGTTTTCGCGCGGACAACCGATATATAGGGTGTTGTAAAAATCATGTAGAATCGTTAATAGGGTGATTCCTTACCCAAAAATTTTCTAACTAATTGTGCGTCAAACGTGAAAAAGTAAATATCGTCAATGGCGCCCGTTCGCAACTACGCCTAAGGTAAACATATTTACTTTTAGGTACATTTTTCAATGAAAATCCTTTCAAATCATTAAAGCAATTGCGTAAATATTTTGAAAAACCAAAAATACATGATTCTTTAAACGATGAGGTAATGGTAATTGATTGAAAAATTAAGATTATTCTGTCACAGTTTAAGATAGGGCATCTACTGTCCTAATAGCTGAGTTGGTAAGGCAGTCTGCGAATTAGGAGGGTTCGAATCCTATACCGGAACATAATTTTTACAATTTTTCAACTAATTTGTTCTCACTTGAAGGTAATTTAATATAAATTTTATTAAATTTATCGAATATAAAAATAATTCAAAAGATGTTCAAAAAATAAAACCCAAATAGTCACAATACTAACAGAATTTGTTACTAAAGTTTATGAGAGATCTTTAGACTGTGAGTAATCTAAAGCTCACAAATTTTAATAAATATTCTTGCAATCGGATGTAAGGAATTAACTATATAGACTCTATATGGCGCGTTCAACAAAGATCGATCAAAAAAGAGCAATAATCCATGTTTTATTTAAAAATTACACCAAATAATAATTTTTACAAACAACGATTTAAAATATTATTTTACTAAAAACATTCCATTTCTTTAAGGTAAAGAAATAAAATTTTGTAGAAAATAAATTGCTTAATATATATTCTTCTTACCTTCATCAACCAAGACAACTTCAACAATAGCATCTTTTGGTATATCAACTTTGTGTGTGCACATGCAGTTTTGGCCACAGTTTGGAGGTCTATTATCACCGTTACAAAATTGATCAGGATTAATATCGTCATACTGGGAAATTAAAGGTGCTGGTGCGGCCATGTATGAAATCTCATCTATCAGACTTATAACGTGGTCTCCGTTTGGTGCAACTAGAATTTTTAAAATATTTTAATTACTAATCAATATTATATAAAACAATAAATAAGAGTGTCTCCGAAAAAAGTTATTTTTTATATTTATATTCATATTCATTTCCAAAATGTTTAAATTTATTGAAAGATAATTAAGAAATTATTAGTTTTGGCAGAAGAGTACAATATTAAATGAAATAAGAAATTATTGTATAATTGAAATTGAAAATAAGTATACCAGACATCGAAATGTGGAATAGAGGGACCTACTATTTAAGCAGAAATCACCTGGGATACAGGCGACTGTAAAACAAACAAAGAAACAAGAGTCAGTTTATAAAGGGGTAAGTCAAATGGAAGGAATCTCATTGAGTTAAGGTATGTATACGACAGTAGTATTCCAGGCAGAAATATTAAAACTTAAGATAAATGGAAAAACCATTGGTATATACTCAGGCATGAGTGCACGTATACATACGCGTATACTTAAAGCTTCTGTGGGACCTGACAGAGCTGGGTAGTTAAATCAGACTTAAACTTGGTACCAGGTCACAAAGGACAAAAGGGCCATATTAAGAGGCTAAAACCAGCCCGAGAAAAAACATCATATGCTCCTTTTGGCCCAGAACCCATCTTTGGTGTTACAAAGACAACCATCAGAACATATAGAAAGCAGTAGATGTTAAACAAATCTCACGAATGATGGAACAATTCACCAAATTAGGGAGAAACCAAAGAAATTATTAAAAGAATCTTTGCTACATGGTCCTCAGATCTAAACAAATCTAATATAATAGAAGGAATTGACATTTTTACTAAATTCTTAAAATGTGCATAAAGGATACATTAAAAGAAATGGAGAAAATGAAGTTCTAATAAAATATAGGAATATCGTATAATTTTGTATGCACTATACACATACTTATACAAAAAGAAAATAATAGTATTTTGGACTTGGGGAGGAGAAGGCTGTTGCATCAAAATATTTTAAATTATAAATTAATTGATTTATTTTTTAATATTAATGAATTTAAATTAACGTCAAGATTGTTTAATAATTACCTGAAAATTACATAATTAATTAGAACAATGCTGTTCTACAGTTTTTATTCTGAGAATCTATACATAAATAGGCAAAGAATAGAAGAAGAGTTAAGTACCATTTTCTCTTGTTTATGAACCGATTTTTTTTTTATTTTTGTTTAATAGCTATTGAAAAGCTTTTAAAAAAATTAGAAAATATTATTTTTTTCTTATTATCATGAATAATGATTGACTAATAAAATTAGCCCATAGCGAACATGAGCACCCTTTAATTTCGAAACCGACATGGACAATATTACATAGAAGGATAGATACTTCTTCCCTCATCTCTCTAATTTCTTCCCTTTTTCTCTGCCACGCCTTAATGGTAAGGTGTAGAAAAAAATTAATAGCGGGGCCATAGGGCCCCTGCTGAAACGATTTCAAAGCGCCCAACTTCTCTCTCATCTACTTCTCCCCCACCCCAGGAGTAATCGATAAATAGAACCGCTAGACTTAGGAAAATGAACTTCGGGTACGATGGATTGTACTTTGAGGTAAAAAGATTCCATCTAACGTTTCCCACCCCTTTTTTTATACATTTTCTGGGCTGTTAATAATTATTTTCGATATGTATCATGACAGGGTGCAATCTGAGATCGAATATAGTAGAGCGATCGAAGTTATCCCCCTTTCTTAGGGGCCTCAAAAATAACGTCAAAATGAGAATATGAAATTTTTATTGTGGAGTGGGATGTATAGGACGAAAGACCAAATCGAAACAGACCCATTTTGGATATCATTCCCCTCTCCTCTCCCATAAAAAAAAATCGCTAATAGTGGGCTAAAAATGAAATTGAAGAAATATTATTATGCGGATAATTCATGGTGCCGAAGCTCAAGAGTTTTGGTATCACATACGCCCCTCCCCACCCTTTTTTCAAAAAAGTTGTCAAGAGTAAAAAGACCCTATTTTGAAAAGTCGAAAGCGGGACAAATGGAAAACATGGAGGACATTTCTCGACAATGACGGTTTAGTTCATTGAAGATAAAAAAAAACTCGGAAAATTTAAGTGCTTGTCACCATCAAAATTGTATTTTTGTTTCAAGGGACGAAATCGGGACGAAATCGGTATACTTGTTAAATCGAAACAAGTGGTTTCAAATCGGGACTGTCCCGCCTAAATTAGGACGGATGGTCACTTTAGTTAAGAGTAACTGTTATTTTATTGAATTTATTTTTTATTTAATTATAATGGTACTGAACTCTGTTGTATTGTAAGTACATCTAAAAGTTTATGGTCTCAGATATACAATAAACGAATGTATAAGAATAATAAAAAAAAATGTTAGAAACATGCAAATGCTTTTATGTTTCCCTCGAATTTTCAATATTAATTATGGTCGAATTTTGAGAAATGGGTAAACACTAGTATAATTTATATGCAACGGCAATCGACTAATCAAGTTGACTGAATTTTGTTACTAATAAGTGGCAGCAGCACTGCAGTGTTGTATTATCGCTGTGGTACTTGGATTATCGTGACTGGGAAACAAACTTTCTTCGATATAAACCATTAGCTGTCAGGTTTAATCGTTATCATATAGTTTTCATCATACTCATTATAAATATAATTTTATGGTACACTTAAATACTGATATATATTTTATAATTGTCCCAATCTTTGATGACATTACGATAAATTGTCTAAACCAATCGTACCACTCTATTACCCTTGATAATATTTTAGTGTTTCTAGAATATTATCACAGTAATAGCTAATGTACTTATTTTATTAGAGCTAGTAAAGTTGGAATCTTTATACTTTTTTCTATTAGACATATCAGTAAAAGTGGCGTCAACTAATAGTAGATGGAGAATGATAATAGTCGCTTTCTTTTTATCACTATAAACTATATATATATATATAAACTATAAACATAACCTATGAATTCATAGAGCTAAACAGACTAAAGTACATACTTCGATTTTTTCTTACTATACGGAGAATGGTCGTACTGCGCAGCTTTCTGAGTGCCTTTTAAAAGGAGATAGAAAACTCCGCCATTTTGACGCCTTATTACGTGTAGCCTACATCTTGGCGCAATAGTTTTAGTCATGTTTTAGTGGTTATGTTACAATATTTACCCATAGTCAGTCCCCAAGAAATTATTTACGAACCTACACTTTACAAAACCATTAACAAATAATGAATATCTTGAAAACCTTGCTTTACTTGGTGATTTTACGTTAAATCTTTCCATTTGTAAGTAACTATTTTATTTATGTTCCTATTATTGTATTCTAAAGCTTTTTTATTTTTTAGGTCTCCTACGAATCTCAAGTACTTAACATGAACAGTGGTTACAAACCATTAATCAAATTGTTTAGAAATAATTTTTAGCTAAACTTCGTTACGTCTCTTCTCAGCATTTTGAGAAACATGCTTATTGCTCTTATGTAAAAAGGTATGTAATCAGTCATGAACCAATTCTTTGTAGAAGGCAAATATAAAGAAAATTGAAGCATTTACTTCAATAGATGGGAGCAGTATTAAAATCAAACGAAATAATATAAATAAACATGTAAGTAATAATATTTACTTTTCGGAACATTTATATTACAATAATTGTTTTATTTATTTCAGGTTCACTACCTGTGGCTCATCTACACACCTGAAAGTAGAGGTAGTCCTCAGCTGAGAAAATAGCCCCCTCTGCTATACAGTATATCAGGAACAGTTATAACATGACCAGTAATATTTTTTTATTTGGTACAGTAAACCTTGTAACAATTTCAGATAAATGGAAATTTCTGAAATGCAAAAGTACCACTGATCCACTGTAAACTTATACAGAAATGCCTTGTTAGATGTAGCTACATATGCTTTGATAATATATGACGTCATCAACCAAACCTTATGAAGAAAGGCTCTGGTAACATAAGTATGTTTTAGTTATGGTAAGTTTATAAAGAAATGTATTTATGTTAACAAATGGGTAAGACCATAGTGTTGAATGTTAAAGAAATAAAATTTGATAAAAATGTTGACTGTTTTAAAATGGATTACACGGGACGCGCCAAAAATAACGTCATTTGTCAACTAAAATTCGCATTCTTTTTACAACGTAGGTCAGATTAGATTCTAACTTTTAGTTGGTCAATATGCCATTAAGAAGAAAGCGAATATTTCCTGAAATAAGTAACTTTTCTGCCAATAAAAAGATACAGATGTATCAACATTTGTGAACATTTTTAAAGAACCAATCGTGAGCAGTTAAACAAGTTTGTAAATCTCATAATTTAACTTCCTTCATAATTTAACTCCACACATCAAATTTTGTATGTTGTTTGATCGATTCCCAAGTTCAGCATCTTCTTGTACAACGACATTTTGTTTTCAGAGAACGTCTTATCTCTTATTCTCAACTTTTATTGACATAGTTCATTCATCTGATCTTCCAAACTCATATTTACTAGTTTAAAATAATTTGTAATTTCAAAAATGTCGATTATATCCATATCCACGAGGTTCTATGAGCTCAGTAATTATAGTGGCATTATCATTTATATATTTTTCAGGTATTTATCAAACAAAATTAGTATGATATAAAAGCAAAGTTAATTCTTACCCAAATGTCTGTTGTAAGTATTAGGTTGGAACAAATCTTCAGGAGTATAAAGGTGGAACCTAAATGGCAAGAATATTTTAACATCGGGACGCTCTTGCAATATTCCTCTATCAATATCTTTAGCGTTCTTCAGTTGATTTACGCAAATGGCATCTGGCCTGACTTCATTACATCTTGCGTCCAATGGATTAAGAACCTGTTAAGATTATTTTTAGGTGCTATTTACACTGTACATATCTAAACATTATTACATTAGGGTATCAGCATATTTGATAGGCATTTTTGGAAAAGTAATCTTTCATTGATTGTGATAGAAAATAAATATCAGATAAAGATTTATATACATCAATATACAAATTAAATATATTTTTAAAGCAAATTTACAAAATGAAAATAAAATATACCGGGTGTGCTACCGGTAACGCCTAGGTCTGTAGAGCAAAAAATTATTGCTATTTTTTAAATCTGTTTCACAGCGAAATGTATATACATCTCGTCGTAAAAGCAATTAGGTTCGACCCTACAAGGCGTTACCGGTGGCTCACCCTGAATATTTTAATTTAGGGCCAATTTAATCAATATAACTAAATGTTTCAATCTCTTTTTATATTCTAAACCGTATACCTATAAAATACAAGCAAGAGACTGTGGCAAAACCTGTCAAAATAATACAAGTTCGTCGCACAAAATGTTTCAAGATCCCAGTTTGTTTTTATAAAAACAGTAATTAAAAAAACTATCAATTTTAAGTATTACAATGGCGATTTGTCAATTCTTTAAACAACTATGTATACATGAACCCCAAAGCAAAATTTTTGATAAATATAGAGGTGATACCTATACAAAATCTGTTCTCTATAGATACCTACTTCTAATCATTATAATAAAGCAATAATAAAATAATAAATTGTATATATTTAAATTTTAATTAAACCCAAAGGGTTCTATGAATTTAAATTAACCAAATTATTAACATTTTATGACAAGATATTAAATTAATGCTATATCTAATTACAATCATATTTACATGAAAAAGCAATCTAAAATTTTTCTAATGTAAAAAAAATTCTTTTTTAAAACTACTTATATACAACGAGGTAAAATGAAAATAAACTTACCACTCCTTGTGGAATACCGAAGTCATATGTTGGTGGAGTGGAAGACGGTTGATATGGACCTCTGGCGTACCTTAGAATAGCAAGTTGTTGGACTCGTCTAATACCACATTCTCCCAAACCTCTGAGTTGGATCCAGTAAGCTCCAGGAGTTCTGTCGGCGTTGATTACGAAATCATATCTTTCGCCTAAAATACATTAAGTATAAATGTTGAGTTATTGGAAATATTGTAATAATTGGCATTATTAATAAAATATAAGAATTAGAAAAACATTCTAAGAAGTATTAAATGTTTTAACTAAATATTAAAATAGAAGACACACATATTGAAACAAACCAAACAATTAAGTTATAAGGTTATTAGGTGATTACTCCAGTCAGTGGCTTACATTGAACTAAAGATTTATCCAAGGTAATACGTTGATAATAATTAACCTGTTACGTAAATTATGGTTTAAATAGACTGTCGATAGTTGACAGAAGAGACTTGAGTAAGGGACTGCTTCACGAAACTTTGCTTCGGGATCCTATGTCTCAAAGCACCTTAAATGTGCTAAGTAAAGAGTTGTGCGGCTATTTGTGTGCCAGAGATAATTGTCTTTGGTTTTGTTTTGGGACAAAATCATTTATTTTCCTTTGAATGAAAATTTAACATTTTTCTATCCCAAGTTTATATGTTTATCATATTATATAGTTAAATGTCAGTACTATGATAGTTATTAAGATTAAACTGTATAATTTAATAATAGGAAGGTTATGAATTCATAATGTTTCGTATTATGCATAATTATCCATTAATTCTTTTATAAAAAAAAGGTTTGGACAGGTTGTCAAAAATGGTGATTAAAACATAACAAGTTTGCTTTAATCCCTAAATATTTTTTTTTATTATTTTATTCAATGCTAATTTACAATCTACTTCAATAAAGTAATAAGTAAATTTGATGGAAGTGAATGGCTTGAGGCAGGTGTCGTCCACTGACGACTCTCTGGAATTCACCTAGCAGCTAGGTCTTCTGGCCAAAGTCTTTTTAAGCGTCTATCGATGAGTGGATGGTCAAAGAGTTCGACTATGAGGTGGTTTGGATGGTTTTCACTACGATTCATATATTTTCTGGAGCGGTGGGTAATCACATCATCTATGAATGGAATGTTGAGGTCTGCATGAAGGGTTTGGTTGGAAACGTACCATGGGGCGTTAGCTAACATTCGAATAGTCTTGGACTGGAACGTCTGTAGTAATTTAGTGTTAGATGGTTTGCTGCAGCCCCACAGCTCGATTCCGTATGTCCAGGCTGGTTTGAGTATTGGCTTGTAGATGACTATTTTGTTTTCTAATGAAAGTTTCGATCTTCTGTTGATTAACCAGCTCATATTTTTAACTTTTAGGTCGAGGTGCCGTCGTTTAGCTTTAATATGTGATTTCCAAGTAAGTTTTTCGTCTAAATAAAGTCCAAGGTATTTTACTTCTGTATTTATTGGTATAGGCGTATTATTTAAGTATAGTTGTGGACATCTAATACTTCGATTTGTAAAATTAACTTGACAGGATTTGTTGGTGTTGACTTTAATTTTCCAGTGACTAAGCCAATTTTCTAGTTCGTTGAGGTGGTTTTGCAGTTTGTTGAATGCTCTTATTTCATCTGTGTCTGATGCTAGTATAGCAGTGTCATCCGCAAATGTTGCCATTAATGTATGATTACTGATGGGTGTGTCAGCAGTGAAAATTAAGTACAAGAACAGGCCGAGTACACTGCCTTGAGGTACTCTGGATTTTAGTTGATAGTAGTTGGATACAGTTTCTACATATTTAACTTGGAAGTATCTGTCAGACAAATATGATTTCAAGAGGAGGTATGATTGGTCGGGTAGATGGGTTTTGATTTTAACGAGGAGACCCTCATGCCACACTTTATCGAATGCTTGCTGTATATCAAGGAATGCTGATATACAGATTTGTTTTTCTTCTAAGCTCTCTTTTATTCTGTTGACTAACCTGTGGCACTGTTGTATGGTTGAGTGACTTGAGCGAAATCCAAACTGTTGATCTGGGATCAGATTTTTTAGAGGTATTGTTGTTTCTATTCTGTTGAGAATAAACCTTTTACAGACTTTTGATAAAGTCGGAACGAGACTTATTGGTCGGTACGAACTAGTTTCAGTTGGAGATTTACCAGGTTTAGGCATCATTATAATTTGGGCATACTTCCATTGTACTGGAAAATAGCATAGCCTAAGAAGGCTATTGAAAGTGATGGTTATTAGGACGATACCTTTTCTTGGAAGATTTTTTAAGATTTCGCCAGTTATAAGGTCAAATCCGGGAGCTTTATGTGGGTTGAGAAGTCTAATTTCATCGCGGACTTCACTCGGTGAGAAGTATTTCAGTGGTAGTGACAACTGACAGGGGCATTAAGGAAGGCTTTAATTTTATCGTCATTGAAATCGTTAGATTGTGGGCGGAGAAAACAGTTGATAAATGTTCTACGAATCTATTGGATTTTTCTGGATCAGACCGAGCCCAAGTTCCGTTGATTTTTTTAATTAGAGATTTGGCCACTGTTGGTTTCTTAAATTTTTTTGTGGCTTTCCAAAGGGAGTGGTCTTCAAGAGATAGGTTGGTAACATATGTTTCAAACGATTCGTTTTTGGCAGTTTGGATAGCACAGCGAAGTCTGCGTGTGAGTCTGTTTAGATTTGTTTTATCTAATGAATTTCTTGTTGTTTGCCATTTACGACGGGCTCTTCTTCTATCTTCCACTATTGTTCTAATATGGTAAGGTATACTGCATCTTTCTTCAATTATTTTTTCATTTACAGGAGTAGCTTCCCAAGCGGCGCTTTGAATTTGTTCTGTTAGGTATTTTACAGCTTCTTCAATGTCATTTTTGTCTTTGAGTCGCATGTCTAGAGATATTTTTTCATTGATTTTATAATGAAACTGATTCCAATTTGTGTTTCTGGAGCAGAGCCTTGGTGCAGGTGTTTTCCAAATTTTACTAGTACTTAAGGTTATTATGATAGGGATTGTGATCCGAGTGTAAATCGAAACTGGGGTTATTTTTGGTTGTTTTTTTGAATGATTTTTAGTAGAGTTCTGCCTTTTGGGGTTATGAGTATTCCCTAAATATAAATTGATTATTTATTTTTGAAACTTTTGGTCATTTTTGAATATTGTAAATATACATATGTTACTGTTTATTCACTCATTACTATTCTTTCCTCTCCTCACCAAAATTAGTTATGAAATATTCTGAGCGTTTGCGAAGCCTCAGCGTTTCTACCCCTAAGGACCAGCAGAATCTTAAACCAGTTGCCAAAGTCGCTCGACTATGCTAATAAGAGATTATTTTCAATTTTTATTGTTTTAATATTTTTGTCTCTGGTCAACGAATATTGCTTCCGGACTTAATTCCTTAATAGTATATTGATCTATCAGTTGTTACAAATTGTTCTTAAGACTAGATGATATATGAAGATAAAGTATCTCTAGGTAACTTTTTAAAGACTGATTTAAAAAATCAGAATTTTTAAATTCTATTCTTTTCTTTTAACTGAATTTAAAAATGTATAAAACATAAAACAAGAAATTAGTTTATGAACTACATGTTTTTTTACATTTAGATTCATTAGATTTGGTGATTTCCCAGGTTTCAGGGTCATAATAATTTCCCCAAACATCAATTCATTTGGTACATGCTTTAGTAAGAGTTGGACAAATTTCTTCAGTATTTTTCCTTTAGTGAAATTGTAAAACCACAAAAGCATTTTTAGTTATTTTTTAGTATTTATTTGGTAGCACAATTTTAATAATTTTCCTATATTACATAAATATTCAATTGTTTGTTTCTGCTCGAAAAAGAACAGATAGTTAGTTGGGCACATATTAATAAACTAACATTTATTATTTAATGTTTTTTTTATTTTGTTAAAAAACTAACTATTCGTAATTCTGTTCTTATCATCTTTAAATCTACCTTCCATAAAACATAGACCAACAAATTAAATATACTCATGGTGTGTTTAAGCGTATAAATTTTCAGTTGTTAATGATATTTACTTACCAGAGAAGGATATAATTGTGTTTACTTTGACAGGATGGACTGGTTCACCATCGGTGGCTATCAGTGTTAAGTCGTGTCCTTGAATGGTAAGCTGTGCAGGACATACAGATGCAAAGGAATTAATTATTCTAAACCTATACTTCTTTCCGGGAGTGATCGTGAATACTTCGAGGGGAGTGTTAGTCATGAAACCGGTGTTTGGATCTTTGAATTGACCTTTTCCGTTAATCAGGCAACTTTCTGGATCTTGACCCGTGTTCACCTATAAAAACAAGTCGTGTAAATGGAGATACAGGGTACTGCAAGTAAATGTTTTTAAAAAATATAATGTTATTCAATCATTTATCACAATAGTTTTACAATATAAATATATTATTTTAATAAAGTATACCCAGGTATAAACAAAGCTAACGTTGTTAAAACCAAAACTTATAATTCATAATTTAATAATATAAAAGTTTTTTTACATGAATTATATCATCTTCTCAATGGATGCATATAAATAAGAGAGTTTTGCTTAGTCTAGTTATTGATTAAGTTTATATAAAAGTAAAGAAAGATCGGAAAAAGGTATTTTAAGTGTATACGCTACATGTAGCTTTTGATGTGATGGAAGAGCCTTAGAAAAAGAATAATAAACTGTAATCGGAGAAACGCAATTGTCCCCACAATAATAATAGGATAACGAGGTGTACACTATTCTGTATAGTTCTCTATAATATTTTATAGAAATCAAGAGCAAACAAAGACACTTCAGTTAGTCTACAAAAACAGAAGCAGTGGAAATAGCAGAAAATACCTTCGATAATGACTTTGTAATAAATGCAAGAAATGAAAAAGATCTACAAATAAATTTAAACATTTGAGAAACAGCTTTAGAAAACATTAGGGAAAAACTGCAAAATAGTAATAAACTAGATGAAAAAATCATTGAACAAGTAGAAACATTCAAATATTTGGGAAATATGGAAAACAATATGCAGAAATTAACAGTACAATTGAGAACACTACAAAATAATATTAAACGATAAACAACACCTTTCGAGAAAGAAAGATAATTCAAAGAGAACCAAAATAACAAATAAGAGTATTTAATACAGAATTTCAACACATCTTAACATAGGGCTCTGAAATTTGGATCTTACATAAACAAACGAAAAGCAGAACACAAGCGGTAGATATGATATAGAGCGCGGTAAAGAAGTTACACAAAAGGACATAATAGATTAGATTAGATTAGGAGTTGGACGTTATTTGTCCTTGTCCACCGCGACCTTTTCAGATCTATTGTGGGACTCCGTTTGTTTTAGAGTATGTCGTCTAGCCTGGTCTTTTCTATTAGACTTAGTAGCTTTGACAGTGGCTCCCGCATGTAGTTACATGCAATTGGCTTTTCTTCGCCCAATGTTAGAAACCTCATTTCAGCCAGGCCTTCACATTGGCACAGGACGTGGAATGATGTTTCCTCTTCTTCTTCACAGAACCTGCACAAAGTTGCTTCTTCTGCTGGATTTATGACACTCATGTGCCTTTTGAGGCGACAGTGTCCAGTAAGAAGGCCTACTGTTATCCTAACGATTTGACGCTTTTGATATTTTCTGGTCTTTCATAAATTTGGCCGATGGTTCCTTGATGAACTGTTTGGCCTGTCTCAGTCTTGGATAGTTGTTCCACCAGTCCTGAGACTCTTTTTGCATCCATTGTTTAATGGATGCATTGCACAATGCCTTATCAACTCCACAGAAGGGTTCGGGGCCTGTCATGGCCTTATCTGAGCCTTCTCGGGCTAATTCGTCGGCCTTTTCGTTGCCCTGATATCCCTCATGGCCTAGAACCCAGGCTAAGGTCACCTTGTTTTGACTACTTAGCTCTGTCAGGTCTTTCACCAGTCGTGATTTGATTTCTGGTGAGAGAATTGCCTTTAGAGCTTCTTGACTATCAGAGTATACGGCAATAGTTTTGCCTGATATTTGCTGATTTATTATTTCTCTTGCACAGTGTTGTATGGCTATTAGCTCAGCCTGGAACACTGTTGCATATTTTCCTAAACTATTTTCCGACCCCGGGGATTTGTATGCCTTAAATTTGTTGATAGCGCAACTAATCCTGTGTGGTCTTGTGATCTCGGAGGCCAGCTTCCAGTCTATTGGAGTTGGTCTGATCCCCTTGTGACTGTAGCTCTCTTGGTCTCCTGAGTCTAGTCCTGTTAGGATAGTTGAGGCTGGAAAGTGCACCTGAGTTAGTATCTCCAGACTTTCCTCTAGTGTCGTGGTGTAGGTATCATCCTCTTTTTTGAGGAATCCCACTTGACTAGATGTACTGTCTTTGGCTATAACTCTATGGCTTCTAGCGCTGGCGGTGGTCTCTGAGACCTCTTCGCAGAACTTCCTCCATGAGTTTCTTTTAGCCTTGCGTACTTTCTTGTTATACTCTGTGAGCTTATTTTTATAAGTAGTCCAGTCTTGTGTGGATTTGGCTCTGTTGAATAGCCTTCGCACCTCGCCACTCAGGCTTTCTAGGTGTTTATTCCACCAGACTGTTTTTCTCGTTTGACATCTCTTTTTTTCGGGACAGTTTTCTTGGTAGGCATCAGTAATTGCCTTCTTTACCAAGTCTACTGTCCTTTCGAGTGTTGTGTGTCTCGTACATTGGTGGTTTCCTCCTTGAGGACAGAATAAGAAATGAGGGAATAAGAGAAGAACAAGAGTATAGCCGATCATAGAAATCATAGAGGACACGTAATACGTATGGAATGAGAGATACAGACAAAAAAGTATGATTGTATCACTGCACAAACGAATAGTATCCTGGATTGAAGCAAAAACAAGAAGAAATGGGCAAAATTTGTATATAATAAGTGACAGGTATTTAAAGTAACTAATAACCGTGGGGTATATAAGGTTTATCGATAATAAAACAAAAAATATTCATCAAGCGCTTTTAGTTATTAAGTCATTATCAGGACACCGTCTAATTTCAACCTAATATCTTATTATGTAAGTGTGAAATGGTTGTAAACATTCAAATAATTCTAGAATGAAATGCTTTTATATTTCATTCTAAAGTTAATCAATTTAAATAAATCAATTGCATAACCGTATAAACTTGATTAATAATTGTCAAAAATATAATTACATAATAATTGCCCCTTTATTGAATTTGTCTGCATTTACACACATATTGAAAATACCTGCGTAGGCAACTTTACACAACTTTAAAATGGTCCACCCACAGACATCGTAGAAAATTTGATTATCGATTACAATATAAATTGTTTCATGGTTTGTTTTGTCAAAGTGATAATAGTAGGTTAAAATAACATCGGTGATTTTAATAAACGGATTTTGTATTTTTAACGGGACCTACTAAATTATGGCTGAAATTACGAAAGTATTCATATAAATAATCAGAACAATAAAGGAAATTAAAGAATTTCAGAAATACATTCGTGAATCTTTTTTTTAATACAAAAAACTGCTATACTAATTTTCTGGACTTCTGGTTGCAACTGTTATTGTAGTTGAAAGTGATTTACAGAAAAGTACACCATTTATTTACAGCGTGGCAACGGCGCAAATCAGGATCATAATATTACGACCTGGTTCATTCTAGAACGCGTCATCGCACCTCAGATAAACAAACTCGAAAAAACCATCCTTACTCAATTTAGCAGCCGTCTCACTTTTTCTAATGCGACAGGTCCTATAGAAATATAAACGCTTGTAATAATTAAGGGCTTAATTATGAATGAATGGACTAGTTTAGTGGTTTTTCGTCATTGGTTGAATGGCTGCGGTAGAAATCAATGGCTCTTTTGTTTCATGTCTACGAATACACAATATTGTTAAAATCTACAAATACACAATTTCTGGTAGTTTCTCTATTGTTAGTACGTATTTGAGTATGGGTGCTTGTTTTACGTATTGTTATTGGTTTATTTTGTTTTTTTTTTTTTTATTTTTTCTATTTATTATTATAGGTATCTGTATCTGTAACGTGTGGAAGGTAGGTTATCCCTCCCACGGCACTTAGGCCTCACTAGGCTCATTGTGCATCCTCCTAAGATGATAAGCTCCTCATTGCTCGTGAGCCATCATACAGATTTAATGTAGTTGATAACCTCGCTAAGAGGTGCTTCTTTTATATCGGCCGGTGTTAGCCGATACTCGCCGAATACAAATCTTCTAATAAATGAGAGCGGCGAGCAATCGTAAAGGATATGCTTGATGGTCTCATCTTCTTGTTCTCACCCTCTGCAGAGTGCGGATTCTGATAGCCCCATTATATGGATATGCTTCCGTACTTAGCAATGACCAGTCAGAAGCCTGTGACTAGGCGCAGATTTTGTTTATTCATAGTCAAAGTATTTGTTTGCTGCAATGTTGTCAGGATAACTTAAGAGCTCCCTGGCAACTCCGCAGTTCCTTGTTTCATCCCATCTTTCCTTAAATTTCACAAGGGAATGTTCTTTAATTAGGTCTGTCACTACCGATTTTGTCAGGCCAATAGAAGGGCCAGCTCCAAAAAGTATTTGGTTGGCTGCTTTCTTGGCTACTGAATCAGCAAGACGGTTACCTTTGATCCATCTTAAGGTGACCTCATTTTTGATGGATAACTCGGCCAAAGCTTCATGACATTCTAGTACTAACCCTGAATAAATTTGTAGTCTGTTCAGGGTGAGTAGTGCTTGTCCGCTATCTGCATAGATGAGTATGTTCCTTCCAGTGATATTGTTTCTGGTGATGATTTCTTTTGCTGCTATGAGAATCCCCGTTAGCTCTGTTTGAACTACACTGGTACTATTGTTTACAGCCCATTTTATATTTAGGTTTAAGAATCTGGAGTATATTCCACATTCTGAGCCTTGTTTTGTTTTAGAACCATCGGTGTAGATATGAATCGTATCTTCCACTTCCATCTCTTCTATTTGTTCTGCTATAACTTAATATGGCTTATGGAAGATATATCTCGGTGAGATGGAGTCCATGTTTGCTTTAAGCAGTGGGATCGTATCGAGCGCATCCTGCCAAAAGAGACGGCTCGGCTCGCCTCACCAGGTCCTACATCAGGTTCAGGAGTGTCATTATCGTCAGAGCAACCTCCTTGATGTAAATATCAAGAGGATTGAGACTAAGAATGACTTCCATGGCTTTGGTCGCTGTTGTTTTCATGGCTGGCTCGGTATTTACACTATAGATTTTCAGCGATGCCTTTTATGTATTTATAGTAATTACATATACGAAATGAAAGCATATTTGTTTT